CAAGCCCGTCGACACGAGTTCGATTCCCACTCACGGCCAACATCAGTGGCGATTACCTAAACAGGTCTCGGGCCTCCCCTAGGTCGAATTAGCCTCAAATGAGTACCGAGTGCGGTGTGTATTCTTCGCCACTGGGGAGACAAAGGCGGCCGGACGTGGTGCTGGCCACCCACCTCTTCGTGTGCCGTGCCGGCCTTTATAGGTGCTCGCTAACAGCACTTGCCCCAACAGTCTGTTAAAGGCTGTATGGGGTATCTTCGTTTTTGTATATGTGCACACAGTTTGATCGTAAATGGGGAAAATATGCTGGAAAAGAAACCGAGAAGCAAATAAATTCAAAGCCTCTCTGCCTCCTCAAATGAACTTTGATCAGCGCTTTTCACATTTGGTGGCTCCGAGCCGGGTTCTGTAAATTCCACGCTTCCGTGGTCAGGCACCAGTCAGTCTCTCTCTCTCTCGAGCGCATCGTACGGCTGGCCATCGCAAACCGAACAAACTTCTGCGTACGGGAATGAACGCGCGGCGAAAGTAAAATCAAAACAACCGTGGGCCGGATTCCCCCCGTCAGAACCGGCACCGTTAACTTGGTTTGTTTTGGGGCAGGGGGCATTGAACAACAACAACAACAACCACCACTGTCGTGCTGCTGCTGCTGCTACTGCTGCTGCTGCTGCGACCCTCCACGTTGTGACGCGCCGCGGAGGAGGCTTTGCCCCGCGGCTGAGTGGCGTAATGAGCGTGAAGAGCGCTAAGTCAGCACTGAACGAAGAGAGGCAGGTCAAGTGTTTGCACTCCGCGGACCCCCCCCCCACACCCCTCGGCCACCCCCTCCCCCTCTTCGTCGTGGCCCCCACCCCCCGCTCCACCCGGCCCCCATCTCCCCCCCCCCCCCCCGCTACTGTTTAATCAACTGGCCGATCGGCACAGCGAGAGGGTGCCGAGGTTGCACGCGCCACTGCCGCTACAAGCACCGCTGGCCAGGTAATTGGATAAAGGCGGCGGCGGTTAAAGAGGCCGAGCAATCCCGCAAATCCGCCTCCCGGACTGTGACGTCGCGATGAGACGCACGGCGGCTCGCAGCAGCAGCAGCAGCTGCAGCGCCACCCCCCACGCGGGCTCTCTCCCAGCTCCGGCACTCTCGCGTCTCCTGGCCGGACTCCCGACTCTCCCTGTGGTCTCCGACTCTTAGGCGTCGACCGACGTTGCCCACGCAGGGGGAAATCCTTTCCCCAAAGCAGGGTTCGTCTAGCGAGTTTTTTTTTGGGTGTTTGTTTCAGAGCACGGTTTGACGCAGCTGAGGATCCTCATCTCCGCGTCGAAAAGTAGTGCCGGTTGGAAGGTGGGAATGAATCGACTGCGAGAACTATTTTCTTTTTCACGTGTTGGTTTTTTTTTTGTGTGTCTGTGTGAGAATGCGGGAAAGTGCTGTTAGCGAGTAGCGCCTATGAAGGCGGGCACGTCACGTTGAGGGGGTGGGTCGCCAGCACCATGCCCGACCGCCTTTGTCTTCCCAGTGGCGATGTTTACGCACTGAACCAGGTACTCGTTTGATGCTGAGTCAACATAGAGGAGGCCCAGGTCTGGAACATATGATCGTCAGTGATGTTTTCTGTGAGCGGCAATCGAACTTGGGTCAGCATGTTCGTAGCACAGTATGCTAACCACGACACTACCGCTCCCCACACAGACGTACATATGCGCATACAAAGACAAAAAAGATATCCCGAAGAAAACGAAATCCCATGTACCCAAACACATGCAAACCCACCAACTTACACGCATGAACTTACGCGCATGCACACGCACACATTAACACGCACACTGGCACTCTCCATCTCTCTCCCGCTCGCCCCTCTCATCTCCACGTGTCCCCACTCGTAGAAAACACTCCCATGCCCTCTCCGCTGAGTCAACAGCCGCGTTCCCATCAAGGGCGCGCACTTGTGGAGCAAGCCAGCCATGCACCGAAATCCTGGAGGGCCTCATCGCTCAACTCTAACCCTTGCCATGACCCAGCATCCCTAGGACTAAGGCAGAATTCCTCACCCTAACCCAGAATCCCTCACCCTAACCCAGAATCCCTCACCCTAATCCAGAATCCCTCACCCTAACCCAGAATCCCTCACCCTAACCCAGAATCCCTCACCCTAACCCAGAATCCCTAACCCAGAATCCCTCACCCTAATCCAGAATCCCTCACCCTAACCCAGAATCCCTCCCCTAACCCAGAATCCCTCACCCTAACCCAGAATCCTTCACCCTAACCCAGAATCCCTCACCCTAACCCAGCATCCCTCACCCTTACTCAGAATCCCTCACCCTAACCCAGAATCCCTCACCCTAACCCAGAATCCCTCACCCTAATCCAGAATCCCTCACCCTAACCCAGAATCCCTCCCCTAACCCAGAATCCCTCACCCTAACCCAGAATCCCTCCCCTAACCCAGAATCCCTCACCCTAACCCAGAATCCCTCCCCTAACCCAGAATCCCTCCCCTAACCCAGAATCCCTCACCCTAACCCAGAATCCCTAACCCAGAATCCCTCACCCTAACCCAGAATCCCTAACCCAGAATCCCTCACCCTAACCCAGAATCCCTCCCCTAACCCAGAATCCCTCACCCTAACCCAGAATCCCTCACCCTAAGCCAGAATCCCTCACCCTAACCCAGAATCCCTCCCCTAACCTAGAATCCCTCACCCTAACCCAGAATCCCTTACCCTAACCCAGCATCCTTCACCCTAACCCAGCATCCCTCGCCCTAACCCAGCATCCCTCGCCCTAACCCAGCATCCCTAGGCCTAACCCAGAGCTCAATATCCTTCATGCTCTCCAATTTTTCACTAAAACAGCCAAGAAGGCACTGTTGTTAGAGCGTTCGACTCCCACTCGACCCGGTTAAGACTTAAGGGACGATAAAGCGGACCGGCATCAATCGTTACATGGACAACGTCAACTCGTCTCCATTTCCTTTGTCTACTTTAGCAGTTTCCTCCAACCACGTCTCAAAGACAGCTTTGGCTGCTTTTGAAACGAAAATGGAGCGGGAGGATAAGCTCACGCGGCAACACAGCACCGTGTGCGATGGCGACGGCATGGGAAAGCATTCATCCAGCAGCGGATAGACCGTTGGATGATCATCATGATGATGGACACTCCAATTATGCTAACAGCATCTGAGCATGAAGGAAATATCCGTCCTTCCCTCAATTCCCCGCGAGAGCATGTCCACGTATTTACGTGGACATGCTGATCCTGTAAATTGCAGTCCACGTATTTACGTGGACATGCTGATCCTGTAAATTGCAGTGCGCCTCTCATATCATTAGCCTCCGAGGTACTGCGGTTAGAGCACAGGGTTGGCTCAGTCTATCATCATCGTCGTCATTATCCCTCGAGGGTGGATAAATGTGGTACCACTTTGGGACAAGTCAGCAGAGGCTCGCCGCCTACACACAAGCAACGTGGAGTTCGTTCAGAGTCACCGCATTGCCACGCGAACAGGGTCAAGCGCAATCTTCCAACGAGCGTGGCGTGGCCCTGAGCCGATGGTTGGAAATTCCACGGTCCTATGTCGGGGCCAATCCTACCCATCGGATGCAAGTGGTGCCGCTTTGCGATTGCGACGCACGAACGCGGCACGTCGAACGTGACCCCCCCCCCCTCTCCCCCCTCCCTCCCCCCCCCCCCCCGTTCCTCTCCACCCGGCTCCCTCCATCCCTACGTGTGTTGGCTAATGTGCGAAGACACGCACGCGCACGCACACACACACATCACAATTACGCACGCGCGGGCGCACACTCGATCTCTCTCTCTCTCGCTCTAAAAACTGCACGAGGGCGGCTAATCCTATTTGCGTCCCACAGAGGGAAACAACAAAAAAAACCCAAGTCGACCTTTTCAGCCCGGAGTAGTCAATCAGACGGAGGATCAAGGAATGGCCTACCCTCGTGGGATAGAGAGTGCAAGAGAGAGAGAGAGAGGGGTAGAGAGAGAGAGAGACACGCGGGGAGAGGGAGAGAGAGAGAGGCGATGGAGGGACGTTCTCTCTCTGTGTGTGTGTGTGCGGCACGCAGGACTAATTTGCAGCAGACATGAATTGCGAGCCGCCGCGTCGGCAAGGCAAGCGCCGCGGAGCACGGAGAGCACCTCTGACTCTCCGAGCCGGCGCCCCCCCCCCTCCACCCCCAGCCCTCACCCCTTCTCCATTCCTGAACCCCGCTCGGGCCGTGATGGGGTGAGGACCCTGTCTCCCCCTGCACTGTGCTCTGACGACGAAGGTCTTGGGGGAAGACGGGCGGCTATTTCCTGAGCACGAGCGCTTGATTGGAAGCAGACTGTGGCAGGCCCGCGGGCTTGCAGTGGGGATGATGACGATGATGGTATTGGTGGCGACGGTGATGGTAAATTATAGTCTACGTGTTAAACTAGTAGGGGGCGGTGATGGGGAGGGATGGTGAAGATGGGGCTGGGGGCTCCGTTGCTACTCCGCTACCCCACAGGTGATGCTGCGGCCTGGGTTCAGGGGTTCACACGCAGCACCTGGCTACCTGCCACGCTTGAGAATCGTCGTGTTGAACAATCAGGTGCCTCTTCACACACGCACCGCACACAGGGTCGATAAAGTGAGTTCCGCCGTTTTGGGAGTTGCCCAATTGATAGACTGGCCACATGTCATGGTAATGTGGAATTTTCACCAGCAGCTAGGAGGGGTGATCGCTGCCCAACACTCGTTTGAGAAGGAAGAAACCTCAACTCTTCATTGCATTACGAATGAATAAAGGAATGACCGAGTGAATGAGTAAACTACCGAAAGAATAAATGATTGAACTACACAACGAAGAATGAACGACCAATACATGAATGAGCGAACTAATATATGTAAACGAGCGAGCGAATGAACGAACGAGTTAGTGAATGAGCGAGCGAGTGAAGGACGCGCGTGGCACAATCGACGGCGGGGTGCCGGGTGTGGAGGGTGGAGGGGGGGGGGCCGCACCGTCATCACGCTTCCTCTTGCCGTCGCCGTTGGAGCGAGGGATGCCCAGGATGCCGTTGATGGAGTAGGAGGACGCCACGGAGTCGTTGGGGGCCGAGGAGACGGGGGTCACGGCCGAGCTGGAGCCTGTGCCGAGGCAGACGCACGCACGCACACGCACGAACACACGTGCGCGCACGAACCCCAACGCGCGCCGCGTGAGGGCTAAGCCACGGCAGGGTCGCCGGGTCACTCCGCCCGCACCACCGAGACTCGGGGAGCCGCGTTTTCTCGTTAAATAATCTCCCGGATTTTATTTCCCCCGTCGTGCTATCGATGTCGCGGATCGGGGAAAACCGTCCCTGCCGGAGCCGTGGAACACTCCCCCCCCCCCGCCCACTGAGCGAGGCCTCGCGTCGTCACAGCCACGAGGAGGGAGTGAAGCACACAGACGGTGGCTGAGAACGACTGCCTGTGGGATTACAATCGACGCCTCCCTTCCAGCGAAGGAGGCAGCAGCCGCGCTGTGCACCTGGCGGTGATTCCAGTTCACCATTTGTCCATCATCCGATATGGGGAATGGCATTCGACCTTTGTTTGATATCCCAGGAATGGTAAAAACTAAACTAAACTCTTTTTTCTTTTTCATATCAGGTAAGGCCCCACTGAGCTAAGTAGTTCTTTTTCAGAAGCGACCTGGCCACAATTGATAGCTCAACGAAGTGGCTTATCACCTTGAAATGTATAGCAGCCAAATACTCTAAACGCCTGATGTTGATTCTAAATGTGGAGGGAATAACTGGAGGACCAGGGAGAAAAATCCACGCGACCACAGGGAGAGAGACATGCAAACTCCAAATATACAGCAGGCGTCAGGGTCTGGATCGAACCAACCATCTCCTGTATACCAGGCGAGGAAGTTAACATCCTGCCACTGTAGCACCAACGCTCAAGACACGAACCAAACAGAATTGGGCTATTCATATGTGATGCAAATTTTGCGCAAATTGTATTCAAATAGGGTGCAGGGAAATTACGCACGATACAGGACGAACAAGGTACAATACAAACGTGTTTTGGAAGCAAAGAGAGGAAAAACATTTATTTGAATCATGCCCGTGTGTTGTACGGCTGGGCGTGATCGCTACACGATCCACGCGAGTCTCAAACCAGTTTATCAGGAGCGTCCTGCATCAGGATGTTTAGCCAATTCCTCAACGAGTCTTTTTGTCGTTGCATATTTACGGCCTCTTAACCTGGCTATAAATATTGTCTGCGTCTCTTGTTGAAACGGAGCCGTTAAACAGCTGGACAAACAGTCTGGCCCGGCTGTGGCTGCTGTGGGGACGGCACTCAACTCACCGCTCGAAAGGTCAAAATCCTGCCCCAGGGATCAACCCAGCCCATCGGCCCCAATCGACAGATCGTGCCAAGTCGACTTAAGGTCGTCAACGTGGAAAAAATATATCTTGCCACACGATCGTGGAATTTCCACCGCTGGCAGGGGGGGGGGAGTAGCAGTGCCGGATTATCGTGGTAGCAAAAGTAGCTTAAATGCTGTCAAGCTATCAATTCCGGTTGAGTGATTCTGCACTTGCTCTATTACTATAGTACTATACTGCCTTCAACTTTTATGAACGACTGGGTGCTTAAAATTCTCGATTTGTCGTATTATCTGGCTGTATAGCAAATAAAAAATATACAATTACTTTACTGTGCAAGTTAAACATTTGCGTTTTTTATTTATTTTTATTTTAGGGCCCCTTTACAACATATGCTACAGGCCACGCGCTAGCTTCATCCGGCACTGGGGAGGCGGCGGTGGGGGTGGTGGTGGTACCAAAGGAAGATGAGCAGCGCAAGAACCGCCGGCTCTCGACTCGCCCGTGACGCGTCGCCCCTTCACAGACGCGGCCCCCGGCGTGCCGCCGATTTGATTCGAATTGACGGCGAGAGGCGCCGCGCGGCGAACACACAAACACACGCAAGCCCCCGAGACGCGTCCACGCGTCTCCCCAAGCGCGGGGTCGGACCGGGCAGGCGCGCGAGAACAATCGCTCCGTCCTCGCATTCCCCCGTGCCGTCCAGAATTATGACGGCACATTCCTAGACTGGACGCCCTCCCCCCACCCGCGCCCCCCCCCCCCCCAAAAAAGAAAAACAATCAAAACGCGGGAGAGGTAATCACAGAGCCTCTGGACAATGGCGCACATTACGTTTGAACGGCGTGGCCATTCCCCCCCTCAACACTAATGCCCTGCCACACGTGATGCATTGTATGTTTTTTTATAATGGGCTTTCTGACTTTGAACTCTGACCCACGTCAAACGCATTGAATATTGCCGGCGAATTGACTGGCGCGCACGCGCGTTACTCGGTGAACGCGCGTGAACACACGTGCGCGCGTGAAAACACGTGCGCTTCTGCCTCTGAGCCAGCCGGGTACCAGCTTCCTCGTTGCTAAGCATCATCGGTGGGGCTCGGCCCTTCCGATCACCGTGACAACCGTTATCACTGTCACTCGACCCATCGGGCAGGGTAGCAATGGTCGAACTACTGCTTGTGTAGGCGGTGTAACTGCGCGGAGGGCCCCGGGTGCCGGCCTTGTGAAGAGGTGGGGGAATTGGACAGTGGATTGTGTGCGGCATTTCATTTGTTGCACCAGGGCCCACTGATAGGGATCTATACATAGCTATAGACCCATAGACTTATACAGCCATAGACTCATCTAGAAACTCACAGACTTAGAGACCCATAGACTTATACAGCCATAGACTCATCTAGAAACCCACAGACTTAGAGACCCATAGACTTATACAGCCATAGACTCACCTAGAAACCCACAGACTTAGAGACCCATAGACTTATACAGCCATAGACTCACCTAGAAACCCACAGACTGAGACCCATAGACTTATACAGCCATAGACTCATCTAGAAACCCAACAGACTTAGAGACTTATACAGCCATAGACTCACCTAGAAACCCACAGACTTAGATAGAGACCCATATTTACATGATCGGCACGACTTGTCAGTCACAGGGCTTCATTACAAAGGGCTGAAAAGTATTTTTTGTGCTGAGTATATCATAGATATTATTTGTATATTCTAATACAGGTAAGTACAGTTCTTTTTAATAATATTGCATCATCTACACTATACTTTCACGGTCAACCAAGGGAAGTGGAAATGCATTTCAACGCGGAGCTCCGGACAATGAGTGGCACTGCCGCTGTCAATGGTGATGTGGTGAGAGAGAGAGAGGGGCAGGGAGTTAGTTAATGAATTGTAGCGGTTTCAGCAACAAAGTTTATTTTCTTCGCGGCGCGGATGATGGGATTTTGCGGGCAGCACTTTTCGTTACCCTCCAGTGCACCGCGCGACCCCGGGCTCCGACGCGCGTGGGATATAAGCGAGCGAGGCGCGCAGTGCACAGCCCATTATCCAATAACAAACAGATTAGCGGGCATTTGATCAGCAAACATCTGGTTCGTGTTTTTTGTTTGTCCCCGAGATTCGACGCACGACTTGCTCGCGCGCGCACGCGAGCCGCGCTCGCGAAGGCGCACCCACACCACCAGCCTCATACCTTTTTTAATTTCATTCCAGAATAGATTTTGGTCAGAATCAGGAAGTTTATTTATGCCGGAGGAATTCGATGAGCTATGAAGGGGTCGTCCATAAATGACGTCACGCGATTTTGTACGATTTTTGACCCCCCCCCCTCGTCACACGGCGTCACAAAAAGTCAGACCCCCCCTCAAATATGACGTCACAGAGCTCTGCCCCCCCCCCCCAAAATAAAAACATGCTTCAAATCGCTTTAAACTATTGTCATTGTAGTGCGTATTTAATGTGGCGCTGCCCTCTGATGTTGTAGGAGAAAACATTTATTAAAAAGTCTATTTAATGAAGTAGAACGTGTTGTCTATATTTATTTAAATTTGCGCATTTTGATGTGACGTCACATTTCTCAACCCCCCCCGCCACACATCGTCACAAATGTCTGACCCCCCCCTAGGTGCGTGACGTCATTTATTGAAGGCCCCGAAGCTCTTTTTCACAGATGACTCATTTTTCCCATCTCGTTTGCGCTGTTCGTCCTGTTTCTGTCTCGCGCGTACCGGGGTTATCTGTGCCAGTAATCCGCGTTAACGTTTGCATGTCATTTGCAAAAAATGTTCACTAATGTTTTCTTATTTGCACCAATCTACGGCAATGTTTTCTGAGCGTGACAATTGGATTTAGCCGACCAATCGGTGAATTGCTATCGGCGCCCAATCCCAGCCTCTATTTGCCGAGTGTTCTTATTCACACTCCGTCACTAGCCCCGCAAGATTACTTTGTGTTTTTCATTATTTTTATATCTCGTTCGCATTGAAGACGTCCGTCAACCCACGCCAGAGACCGAGCCACACGGTCAAAATTCAGAATATCTCCGGTGGTAACCCCTGCGTCAGTGGTGGAAATTCCACATTGCCATGTCAGGGCCAAGCTTTAATTACAGGTCAAAGTTCAAAGTATCTCCGGTGGTAACCCCTGCGCCAGTGGTGGAAATTCCACATTGCCATGCCAGGGCCAAGCTTTAATTACAGATCAAAGTTCAAAGTATCTCCTTTAGTTACCCCTGCGCCAGTGGTGGAAATTCCACATTGCCATGCCAGGGCCAAGCTTGTATTACAGGTCAAAGTTCAAAGTATCTCCGTTAGTAACCCCTGCGCCAGTGGTGGAAATTCCACATTGCCATGCCAGGGCCGAATTGTAATTTCAGGACAACCGCCCTTGACCGGTGCTGGTTGGGCATGGGTGCGCGAGGCCGGCCCCCGTCCGTTGCGCTGAGCCCCGTGACCTTGAGTGGCGGGCGGGCACTATCGTGGCCACTTCTTCCCCTCCCGCTGCTGCTGTTGACGAAGTAAACTTATCTGTTTCTTGCCGTTGTTGATTTCATCGCTACATTTCTACGTGGGGGGTGGTGGGGTGGTGTGTTTGGGGGGGGCGGGGGGGCTTTTTGTCAGGAGCACGAGGTTTGTTAATCATTACTCTCTCTCGCCGGCTATAGTTGGAAAAACAAGTTACATTTCTAGGCCACACTAAATACTCGATACCGCTCAAATCACGCGTGTTTTGTTTTCCACCTGAACCTAAAACTAAACTAAAAGCTAAACTATTTTTAGTTTACCAGGTAAGGCCCAATGATAGTTCAACGAAGTGGCTTATCGTGTAGAGATTTATGGCAGCCAATTACTCCGAACGCACGTTGACTCTAAATGTGGAGGGGAAAAACCCGGAGAAAAATCTACGCGACCACAGGGCGAGAGACATGCAAACTCCAAATATACAGCAGGCGTCAGGGTCGGGAGTGAACCCGCAACCTCCTGTACAGCAGGCAAAGTAGTTAACATCTCGCCAAAGTAACGAGATGTTAACTACCTCTTCCACCGCTAGATTACGACCAAGTCAGCCAGATCGAACCCGGTCTTGTCGCATCCCACAAGCTAAGCTGGATTTCGGGCCTGGTTTGCGATTGGGGGACTGCCTTGCCGATACCCGGCGGTGTAGGCCTGAGGCTACGAGTTGGAAAGACGATAGCTGCTAGAGCAGTGGACTTTGCGAATCGATCTCTGCGAAGAAGCTTTTGAGTGTCGCCCTTCGCGCGCGTGAATGTTCGGCTGTGCCGAGTACTGTCACTCCCTCGCACGTGAAGCCAGACGCACACAACGCACTCACGGGATTGGCCACACACCCTGATGCAGCACGATCACCATGGACAATAGTGGCGATGTCCTGGCTGAGCGAACGGCGGCGTTCTTACACCGAGACCCAGTTGCCCACCTGGGCATGCGCGGCATCTTGAAGCAACTTTCCATTCTAAAAGTCACTGTGACACACTTCTCCGGCTAGTGCTGGGTGGCGTTAGCGCCACCGACCATTCTCAGCCAATTGAGTAAATTCTAAAATTATGGCACGGAACAGCCTCTCTCCACAATGGGGTTACGAGTTTGCCCCTTCCGCAATGTGATATCCATTTGATCAATCCCAGAGGTATGATGATGATTGATGATGGTCTGAGTTGAAGATTCGAACTTGCACGTTTGGGAGTCAAGTGCTCTAACCACACCGCGCCACCTTGCCGAATCATGTGTACACATTCACGTGAAGTGCAATATAATTAAGCTCGAAGCGCTACTTGCAATCGAGTGATCTGCCCGTGATTACGAATTACACAGCGATTAGAATGAACGTAACAAACATTCAGGTCGATTTAATCTCAGGCCGACGGACATCTTGCAGTTCACCAGCTTTGGTTCAAGCAAGCCAACGAGTGTCGAAACCGGTCCAGAGTTTTTTGCTCGTGTGGAACCGATGCTGCTGAAATTATGTGCTCTCTCGGAAGCGTGTGGCTGATGGAATGTGTTATATCATATTTAATTTTCTTCATGTGGAGGGACGGAATATGTGAAGGGGGCGTCTTTCCTTCCGTAATTATTCGGAGCCGTGAGCTCTGTGCTCAGCCCGCAGGCTGCGTGTCGCGCGCGACCTCTCATCGCGTCGACTGCTGCTGCTCCCAGCCTCAACTGCATTTGGAGTCGTCATCGCCGTCGTCGTCATCGTCGTCGTCGCACAATGCAATTAAAAAAGTCATCAACTGACAAAGGCTTAGCAACAGTCATCAGATTACACGCTGCGTGCAAAGTAATAATGCTAGATTACCGGTACCTTGCGTGAGTAACCTGATTAGTGTCACAACAATTTGGAGGTGCGCACGATGCGTACCGCGCCGATTGTAAGATCGTCACAGGTGGCTGGAGTTTCGGGCGGCTGGCATGGCCGTGAGCAAAGGGCCGGCATTTCAATTCCAGGCTGTGTGCCAACCCACTCGTTTCTGTGCAACGCGGTTCAACGTTTCAAGCTGTGCGGACTTCATGCGGCGTCTGAGTTGCAACTGCATCTCAAGAGGGGAGAGGTAGCAGGAGTGGCGCGGAGCGAGATGAGAGGTAGCAGAGTGCCGGGATGCCGGGCTCGGAGCGGAGCGGTGGTCGCCACTTACTGATGCCGTGGCTGGAAGAGGAGACCTGCTGGCCAGGGCTGTCTTGTGACGGAAGGTGGAATGGCTGCTGGACTTTCGTGCGGATAATCCTGCAACACACGCCCACAGCGAAAACAACGTCAGCATTGGGGAACCACCGAACGATGGATCCGAGCCAATCGTGAACTCTTCGACACCAACCTAACTCATACCATGCTCACGAGACCCAGAGGGTATACAGACACATTATAAATAAATAACACGGCCAAGGCAACTGTTTCATTACCAAATTAAAATAGCACTTAAGAAAACCGACGACTACGCCTGCCTGATATCCTCTTCTCAGTGCAATTCCTGGAATATGTTCTGACTTTGCTGGGCCTCGTCAGCAGGCTCGTGTAGCCGATTAAACCAACACTTGATGTGCTGTCTGATTTGTTTTGTTTTGTTAAGCAAGAGCTCTCTGTGAGCGTCGTGAGTCATCACGCTGCATTGCTGGGCCCTTGGCCGCACGACCTTGCCGCCCAGTGGCATTGCTTCAATGGGCCATACCCCGGCTCGCCTGACAACTCAAAGAAGTCGAAACAATCTCAATATTTTGCTTGCCTTGTTTCATAAAAAAAAAAAAACGCTGCTGGGATACATTGATCCGGCATGCCCCTTAGAAGTTCGGTGCGTTTCAGTAGTTTCACAAACTCGCACCTTAATTCATAATTCAAATCCGGGCACACGTCTTGAATTGTCAGGAAATGCGAATGACCGTCCATGTAAAATTTCCAGACGTCCTTCATGAAATTCACAATGAGTCTCCGTGAATTGTTGTTTAGTTTGTTGTTCTTCCCCACACCTCCGATGAGCACAGTTGGCTACGCACGGTGCGAAAGAAGTTTAACATACATACAAATTGCGTTTGTTGCATTTCCAATGCTGACGTTGGCACCGCTCGCCCACAGTGAGATGTGGCCTGTCGCTCGCTGTTAGAGCAGCCGGTCGCACTCGCAAGGCCACGAGTTAACATTCAACTCAGCCACCATCATACCTCTCGGCTCAATGAAACCGGTAGCGATTTGTGTGAAGCCCGTAGTGTTGGTTGTCATTAGAACAGACTGAATAAATAAACAACTCGGACCGTACACGACTCAATGTGTCTACGCCAAGGACGCAATCACACCTTTTTTTTTTACGAACACCAAATTGTCTGGTAGTCTCACGTGGAGACTTGCCCCGCCATAGGAATGTGGAATCACCACAGCGGGCTCAAGCGCCAGGCACGTTTGACTTCTCAGCTCGTGTGCGACCGGGGCTCGTGGGATGACGGCGGTGCACGGGCAAGGGCATGGCGAGACGTGGATGGGGGGGGACCCTGCAAGCAATGTCGGATTATCCAAGTAGCAAAAGTAGCTACACATGCTACGGGCCCCGCACTTTCAAGGGCCCCGCGCTAAACGCTTTCAAGCTATCAATTCCGGTTCAGCGATTCTGCACTTGCTCTATCACTATAGCACTATACAGCCTTCGGCTTTTATGAACGACTGAGTGTTTAAGGTTAGCGATTTGTCGTATTATCTGGCTGTATAACAAATGAAAAAATACAATTACTTTACTATGCAAGTACATTTTTTTATGTTTTTTAATGTTTGTGTTTTTTTTTTTAGGGCCCCTTTATAACATACTAGCGGGTGAAAAATATATATATTCTAAACTTGTCTTAAAAACCTTCCATATACATACACAGAGACTAAGGTATTGTGAAAGCCCAGTGGGCCGTTTGTCCATTTCTCCACCAACAAAATTATAAGAAGCTTGCACAAGTCCAAAAAGTTATAGAAAGTGTGGGGTAAATAGTTAATGTAAAACGTTTCTGAAAATTGTGGACCCACTCCCTCAAAAAATATCTTTATCCCTGCGTAGGTATATATACCTACACACCCTACATACAACAGCGGAAGTAGTATCTATTGACTCTGTAGTTGTATCTACTGACTGTACAGTAGTATCTACTGAGCCAGTAGTAGCAACTGACTGTGTAGTAGTAGTGTTTAGTGACTGTAGTGACTACTGACCGTAGCACTATTTACTGGGCCTACAGTGGTATCTACCGACTCTATAGTAGTAACAACTAACTTAATAGTAGTATCAACTTACTATAGTAGTATCTACTAACTCTATAGCAGTATCTACTAACTCTATAGCAGTATCTACTGACTCTAGTAGCTACTGACCGTAGTGTATCTACTGACTGTGTAGTAGTATTTACTGACTGTGGCAGTATTTACTGACCGTAGTGGTATATACTGACTATTTTAGTATCTACTAACTCTATATAGCAGTATCTACCAACTGGATAGCAGTATCTACTATGACTGCAGCAATGCATACCGACTTAGGTGGTACATGCTATGATTACAGCAGTGCATATTGTGGTGGTACCTGCTATTATTACAGCAGTGCATACTGACTATGGTGGGACCTGCTATGATCACAGCAGTGCATACTGTGATGGTACCTGCTATGATGACAGAAGTGCATACTATGGTGGTACCTGCTATCACTACAGCAGTGCATACCGACTGTGGTGGTACCTGCTATCACTACAGCAGTGCATACCGACTGTGGTGGTACCTGCTATGATTACAGCAGTACATACTGTGATGGTACCTGCTATGATGACAGCAGTGCATACTGACTGTGGTGGCACCTGCTATGATTACAGCAGTGCATATTGTGGTGGTACCTGTTATGAGTACAGCAGTGCATACTGACTATGGTAGTACCTGCTATGATTACAGCAATGCATACTGACCGTGGTAGTATCCTGCTTTGACAACAGCATTGCATACTGACCGTGGTAGTATCATGCTTTGACAACAGCATTGCATGCTGACTGTGGTGGTATCCTGCTATGACTACAGCATTGCATCCTGACTGTGGTGGTATCCTGCTATGACTACATCATTGCATGCTGACCGTGGTGGTATCCTGCTATGACTACAGCATTGCATTCTGATTGTGGTGGTATCTTGCTTTCACTACAGCATTGCATGCTGACTGTGGTGGTATCCTGCTATGACTACAGCAGTGCATACCGACTATGGTGGTTCCTGCTATGATTACAGCTTTCACTACAGTAGTACATGCTGACTCTATCTATCTTATATATGAAATGGAAATTTGTGAATTTGTCTGTTCGAAATGTTTAGCATACTTGCCGACATGCAACCAACTTTTATTATCATACACTCACTCACACAACCACTGACCCACTCGCTCATCATACACTCACTCACTCATCAAACACTCACTCATAATACGCTGACTCACCATACGCTGACTCACTCACACATCATACACTCACTCACACAACCACCGACCCATTCACTCATCATACACTAATTTCACTCATCATACACTCACTCATAACACGCTGACTCACTCACCATACGCTGACTCACTCACACAGCATACACTCACTCACACTACCACTGACCCATTCACTCATCATACGCTGACTCACTCACACAGCATACACTCACTCACACTACCACTGACTCACTCATACATCATACACTGGGAGTGTCATCCTGCCAGCTATGGCTGCAAGTTTGGTCGTACATGTTATGTATATCGTTTATTGTTAAATTCAGAATCACATTTCCTATGATTACTGCTGTTACATTGTGTTTATAGCTGTATTTTGGTGATTTAGAAAACATATGGTTAATCTATCTTATGGTTGTTATTGTTTGACTTGCATCACACTGGGATTTGAGCACACAGCGTTGTAACACGGTGTTTTTTGTAAGATTTGCTGGTTTATCAAGGACGGTTCTGTTGCACGTCGTCGCTTCAAGACGATTCTAAAGAAATCTACAACCTTCGAATCCTTGGTGCGATTTAAAGAATCGATTAAATTAATGAGTTATCTTTTCATTTTAATGTTATGTTTTTTTTAAGTTTGAGACGTTTTAAAATATATATTTTCCCGTATATGCTACAGGCCCCGCAACTAGCTTAATCCGGCACTGCCTGCGAGGGCTGTGAGCAGGTCAGGTAGGGGATTGTGGAGGGGGGGGGGGTTGCAGGGGAGGGGGGGGGGGCTCCCATTGTGACGTCTTCACAATGGGAGCCTTTGAAGTCACCGTCACCGCCACGGGATTTGGGGCGCGCGAGGCCAACGGCGGAGTCGCACGGCGGCTCGCGCTCACGGTCGATCTCGCACGGCGGAGCCGCGAGGAGTTACACAGTGGGGAGGGGGGGAGGTGAGGTTTGTCTGTACGATGTCCCTGCTATTTGCGGTAACTGCAGACACGCAAGAGAATGTATTAATAGAGCTCATATTTATACACCGTATATACGATTGTGTCTGAGTGTGTGTGTGGCCTCTGGCCACCCACCCCCTCGCGTACCGTTCCGGCCTTCATAGGTGCTCGCTAACAGCACTTGCCCCTAAAGTCTGTTACAGGCTATACGGGGGATCTTTGTCTTTTGCTTCGTCGGTAGCTGTTAGCGCGCTCCGCTGCGAAAGCGGCGAGCCGAGTTCGATTCCCGCTCACGGCCAACACCGGTGACGATTATCTGAACCGGTCCTGGACCTCCCCCTAGGTCGACTCAGCCTCAAATGAGTACCTGGTGCGGTGCGTTAAAACATCGCCACTGTGGAGACAACGGCGGACGGGCGTGGTTGCTGGCCACCCACAACCTCGTGTTGCCGTGCCGCCCAAAAATCGGTGCTCGCTAACAGCACTTGCCCCAACGCTCCGTGAAGGCTATCCGGGGGACCTTTGTCTTTGCGTGTTCGAATGAGCAGGTGGCCCAGGTGTATCACATTCCCGTGCTGGGGGAATGCGCGCAGTCTCCGCGGTGGGGGTGATGTGCTCCACATCATTGTAAACACAGAGTGGATATCGATTTTGGTCGCAGGGCGTCGAGGCGGCGCTGTCTATACAGTCCACATCGCCGGGCCTGCGGCAAAAACAGCTCCCACGTGTTACGACTGTGTGACCCTCACGCCCAACATCACCACCACCACCACCAGCAGCACCATCAACTACTATCAATAGCACTATCAACATTAACAGGCCCACATCACCGCAGTGGTTTCACGCGCTGC